TGAGAGGCCAATGGAGTCTATGCCTATACTGAAGAAAGTACAAGACAGGCAATTGATTTAGTCATAAATTTGTGGTAAATGGGAGACCAATTGGATTTCTTATATATTACTCTCTGAAGTAGCTAGGCTTTTAATTTTGATGACTTCACACACATATTTGCCACTGATGATGAAATGGACATGATATGACTCACTGTCTGACTGAATGATTTTTTCGGTGTGGCTGCTTTGAGTGGTCGCAAGACTAGAAATATGCTATATGTGGTATATAAGTACAGTCCATTCATCATTAACCATATAGTGAGTGTATCTGTAGGACTTAATGAATCCACTATTCACAGACTCAGATATGTGCGACGAGGAACCCCTTTGTCTCTTAATTAAAAGCAGCAGTTGAAAACACTAAATCATTAAAAATGAAAAAAATCTGAGCTGCAGCATGGTGTTATGGATGTAAGCAAAATGCAGTTTCAGGAGTATCTTTAACTGATGTATATCAGAGTAACATGACGCCCAATGGACAGGGCTAATTAATAAATAGGGTTAATTAAGACAGGTGTAGTTAACAAGAGCAAAGAGACTGATGCTCTTCATTAACTCCACTGTGCTGGACAATATTTTATCTAAATTAGACCAGGTGGTTTCAACACTTGGCCCTGCCTGTGAAAAATCAAATTAGATATATAAAGACAGCCTACAGCAGGCTGTGAAGCTTAACTGTGGGTCACATTACAGCAGAAATAGCTCGAGTTTCAGCCTCTCATGCATTATCATTGTGTTATCTCTTTGCTCCATTCTGTCGACCTCCTGCTGTCCTCCTCTATAAATGTAATGATACTGATGTCTAAAAGTCATTACGTGTAAACGTGAAACCAAATGTAAAGTAGCGGCACATTTTCGATTATTGTCCGTCCCAAAACTGACTGCACTCGTCTACCAAACAGCACATAACAGTTAAGACTACCACTGTCAAGTCCAAGACCAAGAGGTTTGAGTCCAAGTCAAGACCGATGTCAAAAGAGGGAGATAGAGTCAAGTCCGAGACACAAAGCATCATCAATGTCAATGATCCTTGTAGATGTATTTTGAATCAAACCAATACCTGTTATGGAGACCTATCTGTAACACATTTGATGGCAATCCATGTTATAGTTACCGAGACATTACACACAAAACCACAAATGTCAACATCATGGTTGATGAAAAAGACAGGGTCAGATCACCAAAATCTTGGGAACCATGGATGTCTGTACAAAACTTTGTGCCGATCTGATTGGTTGAAGGTTTGCACGTGATAAATGGTGAGTATTTTTTTGAAAGTGCCGACCCTGTTCTAAACAGTTTCAGCCTTCAAACCATCTGGCACAGTCAGTTTACTTAATTTGTACAACAGTATAATAATATAAATGTGTAATTGCATGTGAGGGTAATGTAAACAAATAAAACAGATAATTAAACTGCTACATTAGGCCTTTGAAAGAGCAATGAATGTAGCTGTTTTTCTGATCGGGTCGTCACTATGCCTCATATTCCATATGCAGCAATGGAGCATGTTCATAGTTCAAAATGAGAAAGTGAATAAGAGGCTCCTCAGCTTGGCTCAAGTATTCCTATTTCCTTTGTTTTTGTGCAGGCCAATCAAACAAGATGGCTTGTGATTACCAGATCTTCAAATGCACTGCATGCTGGTAAGATTCAAGAGTCAACAATATTTGAGTTTATTGCTTTTTTAGCTATGCCACAAGACAGGGATGCTGGCTCAATCAGTCTGCTGAGTAGGTCTCTTTAGTTTACAGATACATTGTTTCCCCTATGTATATTTAAAATCCATTCTTTATTGACAAAAAGTGTTAGTTTTTTTTTTAATACTTGTGAACATTTGCATTATGAAAAAAAATGTACCCCTTAAGCTGAAAGAGATTTTGCCAATTCATGGAAGAAGAGAAAGCATCAAGAACAGGAGGAATTTGACAGGCTGATATTGGAGCTCATTTCAGATTCATATTAAGGGTGCCTGGAGCTCAGTGTGATATATTACATGATATATTATAAATCATACATAAAGAAGAACCAGATTGACAGCAGCTGCCAGTATAGTAGACACTATCTCTCCTTTTAGCTGAATTTTGGTCTCCACCATATTCTGAGAAAAGTAGCTGCTAAATGTTCCACTGTCTTCACCGGCTATATTGTTGGTTAGTATTATTTTGCCTGTCTGTTGTTTGGTTCTAGGAAGGTATTCTGCATTTGTTTGTTTACACTCAACCGTACAGTTAATGTCCCGAAAAAACAACAATGAGCGAAAAGAGGCTAAAAACATGCTATCCTACAGCGAAAATGCCTTTTTAGTGTTTTCTTTTGCCTTTATGATAGATTAAAAAACACAGAAAGTCTGATAATGGGCTACAAATTATATGCAGTTCACCAGTCTACCTGATGTGAGCAGTTAATCCCTGAGCAAAATACAGTGTCCACATCAGAGCAACAACAACAGGTGATCAGTTAAATAAAACAACACTAGATCAGGCTTTGGATCAACCTGTCTAACTGTGCTTGGAGAAGCAGAAACCTTTTTGTCCCACAATAAACTGGATGTCTTTCTTCACTAATATATCAGGGACAATGCTAACTAATTGACAACACTGTGATGTAAATGTGCCAGATTTAGCCAAATTGCTCATTTTAATCTGTACCTGGGCAGGTTGATGCTAGAAGTTTGAAAATATGGCAAGAGGCAACAAAAACCACATATAGCATGTTTCAATCAGTCCAGCTCATTCGATAGGATGATTAAACTCCATTGCTGAGGCGACTGCTCAGAGTTCTGGCCAGGATGTCATCAGTGACTGTGGTGTACAACCTGAGAACCTGACTGTGGACACCTAAAGCTCAATAAAGAGGCCTCTCAGGCAGTGGGCGAACTATGCCATGGCTTTCGGCCGGAGCTCTTTGTTTTATATTTATGCATGATCTATGTTGATGACGATGATGATACAGAAAAATAGAAGTGCATTGAAAAACGTCACAAATAATGTTTTCAGGGGAGCTCATGTCTTATTCAGAAGAGCCAAGATCTCTCTGTCTCCCATGTTGTTTGCACCCTGCTTTCTGGTCAGGAATCCCAGAAGCAGAGAAGTATCAGCAGGTCAGAGGGACTGCAGCTTCTACAGACGCAAAAACAAAGGGCATGGGGAGTGACTTCAATGAGGTTCTGGTAAACCATCAGATGACTCATGAAGTGGAGAACAGGGTTTTGCCTAGGCTGTTTACACCAGAGGAGAACTGCTGAACTTGGTAGGAATATAGCATATAGGTGCAGAAGGAGCACTCCAGGGAAGCCTTACCAATCTCTCTGCCAGAAATAACTGTGAGGGTGATTTTCCACCGTCTCAAACCGCTAGGTGAAGATAAGATTCACACTGAGATGCTAAACGGGGTTGTTGCTACAAGACAACAAGGGAAGGACCCAAATGCAGACAGTCAATGCAGACACAAAGGGGTTGGTGATTTATTGACAAAAATTAAAATACAAAACCTCACTGGCATGGGTAGCAAGTCCGAACAGAGTTAACTGAGGGTCTATGGAAAAGGAAATGGGCAGAGAAAAGGGTGCAAGCAGGTACAGGTTCTGATGAAGGAAAGTGGAAACAGGTGAGCAGGTGCATGTGGCAGTCATGTGACTGGGACAGGTGGAAAAGTCTGAGGGCATCTGGTGAACAGGGAATGGACACTATTCACAGTCACGTAGCAGTCCTTATAGTTTCCTATGAACTTGCAGACAGGATTGGACAGGACAGGAGCAGTGTCATACAGCACTGGAGGGTGTATTCCGATTATCTTGATCTCTAAAATAATGTGGCAACACGCAGGTTATCTGTTTATATGAGGAAAAAGATGAGTGATTTGATCGAGTGTACTCTCAGTACTATCAATGAGGCCACATCCTATGTCATCTTCCTTGTTTTACTATTACACTTGTTGACATCATTCAGCACATTACTACAAAACATTTAGATCATGGAGGGCAGACTGAACATTATCCCTATTAAACCTTTTTGCCTGAGTCACTATCAACACATGGGGTTAACTATCTTTTCACAGTGAGTTATGTCTGACTGGTTTGACTGTGTCATCCATATACAAAGTGCCCAGCCCACTCTGTCTAAGACATCAAAAATACGAGGGATGGCTCGATAACCGTTTTTCACATCTGAAACCGATGCCGCAGCCTTGAGTATCTGCCAATACCAATACGATACCGCCTTTTCCCCGCTAATAAACAACTAAGCTGTTAATAATACATTTGTATGGATGCTTTTAATCTAGCCATCTAAGGGCTTCTGAGAGCTCACATAGTAGAGCTGGAACCCCATGTACCAGGGTTTGAATCTGACCTGTGTACCTTTGCTGCGTGTCAGCCTCTCTCTCTCTCTGCCCTTTCCTGTCACTCTTCAGCTATCACTATCAATTAAAGGCAATAAAAGCCCACA